TTCTTGGCAAAATGTTCGTGTCGAAAGAATAATCATGCATTGCAGTTTTAAAACAGTTCATTTACTTTCTATTGCCTGATATCGAATTTTTCTTTGCCTGGCGTTTGCCGTTTGACGTATAACGTATAACGCGAAGCTTAAACTCTCTAATACCGTAACAAATACTTTACATTGTCACGTGACTTTTTTAGTGCGGCTGTCGCCGTCTTTTCGTGACACTAATTTTGACAGTTTCTCTTCTTTTAAATAAGCGAGTTCATTTTGTTTCGGCTCTTAAATGTTCGCGGGCTTTTATGCAAACTGCAGATGACCAGCTCTACATCGTGCGATAACTGTTCTTGGACTGAAGTTCGGTCCAAAAAGGGAGACGTTACGATGTGGGGCGGCAACGTGACGACTATGGCTATTCATTAATTCATACAATGAGATTCATAATATTTAAGAAAAAAAGAATAATAATTAATATCCCACGGGAGTTTGAGACGTCGTCCACGATCAGTTTGCAACGGGAAACTTTTATACATCTTGGATAAAACGCCTGTAGTGATACTCGGAAAATTAGCTCAGAATACTATGGTAGAACTTTCTCAACAATAAACCACTATTTGAAGCTAACCAAACAGTATTAAATTGATATGAGCAATAATAGTCTACAAACTTTCTTTACATCGTTTATCTGAATGATTTTATTCTGGCCGTCGTCGTTGCGTTGCTGTCCTACATCGTAAGGTCTCTATAGTTATTGAACGCAGATTGCATCAACACCTGAAATAACGTGAGAACTTCCAACAACTGCACTGCAGGATATGCAACTACCTGAAAAATATATTAAGCAGCACTTCGACGTTTCGAGAAGTTAGTAGCGGAATTTTGCGCGCGGAACGGATTTTTTCTTTGTCTTGTGATTTAATGTGACTAAGCCGAAAAGACAAAAAATTCCGCTTCGCGCGCAAAATTCCGCCTAGTGGAAAACCGGCTTAACCATTTCACCAGAATTATTAATCTCAATTTTTGCACCGTCATTACATATTTTTTTGTACTGTAATTACAAATTTTAGCACTATGTCTATGTATGATAATAAATTTTACGACTGTTTACAAAACTATGCACTGTTGAGTATTGGTTGTGACTAATTGTTCTGTTACAGTCACAGGCGAAAGACAGTCTTGGATGTTTTAATTAATTAAACATACGAATCCGGCACATAATTCTCCAAATCAAGACATTTTAACAATAACAATTCTACTGTTGTATGTAATATCAACCATACTGGCACCCAATAAATTGGAAACAAAACTTTGAGCGTCTGTGTCGATCTGTTCATGCATCCAAGTTTTATGAAAATTTATGTAAAAATAGGTAGCGGTTAAGTGTCTTCGATCTGATTTTTTCACTAAACTTTTTCCTAAATGCCGCGAACGGGCTGGTTTTTCCAACTACATTAAAACTGGGTTGCGCACAAAATGGAAGGTTTAAAAACGCGATTTGAATTCATAAGAGGCAAGTTTAAAATGTGTTTTATGAATTATCGAAACTAGAACGAAACCTAAGTCATTTCGAGACTGTCTAGCCTGCTCACAGACGTTGTAGTTCTTACGCCAAGCGACGAAATACTACCGTCTGCTTACCCGAGCGCCAAACTGAATTCCGCTACGTCGCCAATCAGAATTTACCTTCCAAATTCTGGAAAGTGACGTCATTGATTTAGGAGCGGAATAAATATAAATATATATTTTGGAAGCAGTCGTCGGTTGAATTTTGGTCAAAATTGCACATAAATTGAATTTAAAGATACTGATACTTGTCCAGGTAATAAAATGCACCATTAATGATCAGATTTGGATATTAAAGATGTTCGGTTTAATATATTTAAAACGCGGACAGGATTGGCATATTTATACTGTATGAATCTTAGCCAGACAGCATCAAATGCCGAATATATTTCGCTGAAATTTTAACGGTTTATCTTTATAAGACAACAGAACTCGGAAGACAGAAAATTTTATATAATACTGTGGCTTAGAAAGCGAAATATTAGCTTCAAAGTAAACTAATTTGCTGTCTGAGCAACCACTTCTAAATGTAAAATGTAAACACAACACAAACCCGAGAAACTTGTGTTAAAATTGCGCCGTGATGAATTTTCCAATTCGCCCAAACTTCGAAACGTTTAATATACTCTAACTTGGCTATACTTTTCTACATGACAATGAGAGCTTAATCTTTTAGAAGTTTTCGTCGAAGTCATGGCATATAGGAAGTGTCAAGAACAACATTTGGACATATCCTGATATACTCGAGTTTCCCGATTGATTGTTTGTCATTGTTAACAAAAATTTAAATTTCGCCTACTGCATTGCTTTAGCACTTTATATACACCGATTGTTTGCTGAACATGCGAGAAGATGATCACAATATTATTCTACGTAAACATCGTGAAGTTCAACGCTATAGTTTCCAAAATATATCCACGCAGGTAAACAAATTTCAAGTTTCAACCCAAACAATATATTCCAATGCATGTGCAAGGGTTTTCCCCAGTAGCTAATCTCTCAATAAGGCGCCTTCCAATTGGCTCTAACTTTTTTGAAATCTGCCAGATGATTGGTTCCTAAAACAAAGGGAATTGATTAATTGAATATGCCGCTCGGGTAAGCAGACGGTAGTATTTCGTCGCTTCGCGTAAGAACTACAACGTCTATGAGCAGGCTGTAATTACATCGACTTGAAGCAGAGTTATAAGGCTTAGCATGGATGGTTCGAATTTTCAATTCCCAGACGTATTTGCTAAGTTCAGTAGCGTTCCGTTTGTCAAAAGAGTTGAATGATGCTTTATGGTTCGAAAGTCTTGGTTTGAACGAGTTTTCAGCAGGTCCGGCATATGTTTGAGGAGGTCTATTTGAAGTTTTGCATGTCCTTAGTAGTGACTGTGCATGGCTGAGACCATAGACAATCCAGAAGACAGGGGCTGGAAACGCCTAATGTTTTGCGCGTGCCATGCATCCGTGACACGTTTGCGTATATATATATATATATATATATATATATATATATATATATATATATATATATATATATATATATATATATATATATATATATATATATAAGGTATATATATATCAGAACAGTTTGCGAATTTTCCTAAGCCTTCTCGCTTCTCGCCTCTCCCCAGTCTCCAAATAATACAGCTTTATCCCGGTCAACCTGCAAACCTTGTCGATTTCTCCCTAAAATAATGAGGCGGAAGCGAGAAGGCCAGGAACTAGGCTGGGATAGACTAATGCATTTGAGTGATTTGAAATTCAACCCTTTCGACACGAGTAATGATATTGCGCTATCTGAAAACAACGCAAATCTCGATAAATCGTCAAAAATAAACTGTGAATATTATCTACCAAATGATTTTAAAAAACAAATAAATAATGAAAATCTCAATAACTTTTCGATGATGCACTTAAACATTAGAAGCATAACTAATAAATTTGACTCTTTTAAACAATTAATATATTCATTGAATAAACCGTTTCAGATAATTGGTTTAACTGAAACTTGGCTAAAAGAAACTAACGAAGATCTATTTAAACTAGAAAATTATGATTTTGTAAATGTAAACAGGTCAACTAAAAGTGGTGGAGGAGTTGGCATTTATGTCGCAAATGAATTGAAATACAAAATACGCTTCGATTTAAACACAATTACTGAAAATGTAATTGAATCCGTTTTCATTGAAATTATGACAGCTGTAGGTAAAAATATAATAATAGGTGTAATATATAGACCACCAAATAACAAATTTGACTCATTTGAAACTAAAATGAATCAAATACTAGGAAAGATAGACAAAGAAAACAAATTATGCTATCTTATGGGAGATTTCAATATTGATCTACTAAAATCAGAATCTTGTGATTACAGTATCAGATTTCTAGAACAACTATTCACATCATCATATATCCCACTTGTACTAAGACCAACAAGAATCACTCAGCATACGGCTACACTAATTGACAATATTTTCACCAATGACATGGAAATTATAGAATCAAGCAAAAATGGGATAATTTTTTGCGATATCTCAGATCATTTACCAATAGTTCATGTACGAAATTCAAAAAATTACCATAAAAAACTTCAAAAACTGAATTTTCTTGTAAAAGAATTATCAATGATGCCAATGTTGAATCATTTACCAATACAATTAAGAATATATCATGGGAAAATGTACTTTCTGAAAACAACACAACAGAGTCCTACAACAAATTTTTCAACTTATTTTCAATAGCTTATGAAAAAAACTTTCCATTGACAAAGAAAGTTGCGAAAAGAAAGATTGACAAAACTCGAAGCCCATGGATGGCAAGATGTATTGCAAAATCAGTTAAGCAAAAGAACAAATTATATAAAAAATATCTCCAATACCCTACAGGAAAAAACGAAAAAATATACAAAAAATATAAAAATAAATTAAATCATGTGATAAAAGTGGCAAAAAAGAAATATTATGAAGAACAGTTAATAAATTATAAACATGATACAAAGGTATTATGGAAAACATTAAATGAAATTATGAACCAAAATAAGACAAATAGAATGTTACCAAAAGAATTTAATGGGAATAGCCACGGAGAAAAGATTACTGATCCAAACACAATAGCAAATAGATTCAATGACTATTTTGTAAATATTGGCCCAGGACTAGCAAAAAAACTCCCGAATTCCAAAACAACCTTTGATAAATATCTCACTAATAGCTGTAAAAATAGCTTCTTTATTAATCCAACAACTAAATATGAATTAGAAAATGAGATAAACAATTTGAATGCCAAAAAAAGCCCTGGCTATGATGGTATAAGCTCACAGGTAATCAAAGCGATTGCTACAGAAATGTCTGAACCACTTTCACACATATTTAACTTGACTTTTCTTTCTGGAACTATTCCTGATGATCTAAAAATAGCTCTAGTTACCCCTATATTCAAAGCAAACGAAAACAATGAATTTGAGAATTATAGGCCCATATCTGTTCTCACCGGTTGTACTAATTACCGACAAAAGCCGACAAAAACCAAGACAAGCCAACAAAAAAACGACAAAAAGGCAGACAAATAAATACCGACAAAAGGCAAACAAAAACCGCAAAAGGTCAACAAAATGATTCTACAACGATTAATATGTGAAATGGCAAATACCTGGGTGAAAAACTCTCAATCGCCACCAATAACTCTTAATCAAGCTATTCATGACTCTTAATCATGCTATTCATATGGTAAACAAGCGCTAATGACCTACATGGCTTAGACATGAGTCACCGCTCGTTCGGTCTGTGTGTTGTGTCTTTTTGGAAAATTGGTGTTTTGTAGTGGTAAATTGATGATATTGTTTTTGACGGGGTGGGGGAGCACTACTTTCATAGGGGGACACTATCCGCGCTCTGCACGCTAATGATTTATCTTGTTTCTTGATGATGTCATTGTATTAAAATAGATTATAGGAGTGATAATGATTTTAAAATAAAATCGAAATTTACCGTTATAGCCAACTGATCAAACACTACAATCCAAAACAAATGTAAATGATATTTACTAATTTTATAGTCGACCAACAAGCATGACGCACAGTGGCGTAGCTGGCTGAAAAAAATCGTCCCGCCGAAAGCGGACCCCTCGCACCGAAGGTGCGACCTTCCTAGAGGGGTTCGGGGGCATGCCCCCCCGAGAAAATTTGAAATCTAGAACCGCGGAAATGGCATTTCCTGCGATTTCGAGGGTGGAAGGAT